CCAGCCGACCTGGCTACACTATCCAGCCGACCTGGCTACACTATCCAGCCGCATTGGACATTCGCATTGGACATTCTCGGTGGATCACTGAGAAATATGGCCATGTTAAGCTGGTTGTCCTTGTGTGTGTTGTGCACTCCAATAATGTCTTTGTCTCTTGACTCAAAAGGTTTGTAGTCACTCCTAAAACACTATTGTTGATGTGCATGTTTGTGAACTCGCTTGAACGCCGTTTGTTTCCTGGATGAAAGACATTGTACATTGTACATAGAACGAACGTAGTGTTGTAACCTTTATGTGAATAACTAACCAAATGTGTTTCTCTCGTTTAGCTGACACATACGTAACGGCGATATGTGGACAAGACGTGGTTCTTCGCTGTCAGAATACTACAGCGAGTCCAGTTACCCTGGTGGAGTGGCGGAAATCAACTGTATCCAGTTGTTACCTGTACTTCTTTCGAAATCTACGTTCTTACGACAACTACCAATGTGACATGTTTAAAGGCCGAGTGAAGCTGCTCGAGCCGTCCGTGGGAAACGCAAACTGGTCTGTGATTCTAAGGAACGTCAGTGTAGCCGACACAGGGCTATATACGTGTGAGCTTACAGTCATAAACACAACAACTGGCCAGATTGTAGAGTCCGAGGGACGTGTCAACCTCACAGTCTCAGAGCTCACAACGGCTCCTTTTTCACACTCTCCACAACCTAGAGGCCGCCCTGGTATAATAGCAGCCCTGATCCTGTTGCTGACCGTCATCGCCGTGTTGTGTGGTGTAGTGTGGATCCGCGCAAACCAAAAACACAAGACCCCTGAGGGCGAAACGTGTTCCGATGTATGAGTCTGACCACGTACTGAAATGTATCTGTACCAAGGGTTTTTTGCAGAGGTACTTGTTGGTATAATGTATAAAAAAATAAAGACACTGTGCTGCAATGTGTAATGGTTGTTATTTTATTTGTCAAATACAGTCAAACACCACGCTTCAAACTCGTGCTGGTACACCACATGTCTACACAAGCAAAGCCCCCGCTTGGGGGGTTACAGTCTCCAACCAGCGTTCTGGGAAGATACCAAAGGCGTGTAAGTTGTACACTGCCAGAATCAACGATATGCTTGCCTTCGCCTCGTCGGGTAGTTGTGGGCATTCAAAGAGGCATCTGAGCGCACCCACCTTCCCCTCGGTGGTTTCATACATGTGATATAGCATATATTCTTCATCGGGTAAGATCAGCTGTTCTTGAACCATGAGGTCGACTGC